GGCCGGGCCGGGCCTATAACCGGTTACATAACCGGTCCCGGTCCCAAAAAACGTCAAAAACCCTAACCGGATCATAACCGGCGGTCCCTCAACCGGTCCCTACCGGTCCCGGTCGGTCCCGGTCCCTCTCCGGTCCCGGTCCTCCGTCGGTTACGGGCCGGGCCGGGCCCATTTGGCCATCTCTACTTGCAACTAGTGTGTAACCATGCGTTGAATGGTAATATGAGTATTTTGGTTAATGATCTGAATATTGTCTATATAAATATATGTTAGTTGTTAATAGAATCATCAACAAATATATTTAAATAATTCGAAAAAAACTAATAAAATCTAATTAGTGAAATTTTGATATATATATATATAGAGAGAGAGAGAGAGAGAGAGAGATTTGTTTAAGAATAAAGTTTTAAAATTAAATAAAACGAGTAATAGTAACAAGAGGGGTGTGGATAACTTATGCATTGTTTGTCTGATTGATGATGAAGTTTAATTTTTTTTAAAAAGAGGATGATGTCTCTACCAATTTTTATTAAAAAATAAATAAGTGTACGTCTAAATCGTACAGTAACTAATTATATGTACAAAAATGTGGTAAATAGAAACTTAATCCATAAATAATATGATAAGATATTAACCGATTATTAATACATATAAATTACTATAAATAATAGTTAATTGTTAGAAGACGAATGATGTCTACAAATAACAAAAACAAATACTCGGTCCGTCTCAAAATAAGTGTATGTTTCTATTTTAGTTTGTCCCAAAGTAACTGTTTATTTTCAAAAAAAGTAATGTCTACTTTTTAATTCTAATCTTAATTATGAGATAGAGAATTCATTAATCTCTCAATTATGAATGATAAAACTGTCATTTAGTTGATGACAAATTGCATGAAAAAATAATATACTTTAACTTGATTTCTATTTTGGATAACATATTTTAAAAACTTTCATTTTGGTACCTAAGATGTAAAGTTTTGAACATTTAACTACTTGGGTAACCGGTTGAAACATTAATCGGTTATTATGTTGATGTGGCGAGTGATGTGGTATCTGGTTAATGCTTCAACAAAAAATATTGAGTACTCACCATATCACTCACCACATCAGTATGATAACTGTTTAATGCTTCAACTGGTTACCCGGACACTTAAATGTTTAAAATTTTACATCTTAAATACCAAAATTGAAATTTAGGAAGTACGTTACCAAAATAGGAATCAAGTTAAAATACTTTATTTTTTCATACAATTTACCTTTTAATTAATTAAAGAGTAATGATTTTCATTTATAAAAAGAATATGTTTGAAAACTTCTCATTGAACTACATCTTGGTTATTACTTTAATATTTTATATTGAGATATTGATTGATTGAGAAGATTTAATAAATTATATATATATTGATTTTGATGATTTATTTTTTCAATGTCGTGTAATTAAAAATATGCATGTATTGATGTAAATAAGACTATATATAGTTTTATATATTTGTGGATTCAATTTTCCTTTATAAAATAATGAAAATGAAGTTAAAAAAAGTAAGAAAATGAAAGGGTTAACAATTAATGTGTTAATTGTATATTAAAAATAAATCAAAATAATGAGAAAAAAGACAAATAAGATAGA